GCCCAGCAGGACCGAAAGGCGGGAGGGAACTGCTGGTTGGGGGATTTTGGGGGGGCAGAGAGAGAGAGGCCCTTTGGGGGGGGCTCTACAGGAGGTGGATGTTTTTGGAAGCAGGACAAAGAACAAGGAAGGGAGGTTGTTTTGTCCCCCCGCCTTCTAATCTCCCTCCAAGTGTGTCTTAAGCAAGGTGGGTTCCATTGCGCTCCTTTGTTGTGATTGTCCAGCATGGAGCCTCCACATACCAGCACAGCCTACCTTTGCAGGCCAGGCATTATGGGAATGATAGGAGGGGATCTTTTGCCCTTGAGTCCTTTCATTAGGCTTCCTTGAAGAGCCCCACTGGCCCCTTCACCCCTGGCTCGGGCTAATGGGAATTGTAGTTTTAACACATGTGGGGCAGGCTGCTTGTTGCCTAGTCCTGAATCAAGGGATGGGAGGCCTGGAAATCGCCACAGGTGATACCTGGAGCGAATGATTTGCTCTCTGCTTCCCTCCTTCAGTGTCGACAACAGCGAGTACATGAGGAACGGGGACTTCCTCCCCACTCGCCTCCAGGCTCAGCAGGATGCAGTCAACATCGTCTGCCATTCCAAGACCCGCAGCAACCCGGAGAACAACGTCGGCCTCATCACTTTAGCCAAGTGGGTGCCCTTTGGATGCCTGGCTAGACAGGCGGGGAGGCATACTCAACAGCATGGAGGGGGGTTAGCTGCAGCACCTCCACAAGGGTCCCCAGACCCCACCCAGCACAAAAGCAGATTGGGGGGTGGAGAAAGGGTGTTAAGCTGGCAGGTATGTCTTGTCATTTTCTGCCCCTGGTAGTCTCCACAAATGGCTCTTTTGCTGCAAAAGGTTAGGGGCCCACAGAGAAAGGGACAGACAGGAAACTCTCGGGGCCCACAGAGAAAGGGACAGACAGGAAACAGGGCCGCCTCAATGACTCTCGCTCCCATTTAGGGAGGCAGGGGCAGGATTCAGCCCTCCAGTGCTTTCTGCTTCTGACCGAAGAAGGGTCTTTCCTGCCAATGGAGAAGGGCCAGATAGAGCGTGAAAACGTTCCTTTTCAGAAACGTTCACCCATAATGTGAGGATGTTAAGGGACTTGTGTGAGTGACCGCTGATCAGGGTTTGCAGATTTCCCACTGAGACCATCTAAATTCTCCCACACTCCCCTCCAAATGTATCTTGGTGAAGGCTTCCTAGCCTGACGTCTGCCTTGCTGTGTGTTTGTTTCAGTAATTGTGAGGTGTTAACAACCCTCACCCCCGACACAGGCCGCATCCTGTCCAAGCTCCACTCCGTGCAGCCCAAGGGGAAGATCACCTTTTGCACAGGAATCCGGGTTGCCCATGTAAGTTGCCCTTCTTTGGCACTTCCCCTGAAAGGACCCGGCTTTTGGGTGAGGAATGGGGGGGGGGGAATGGCACGGTCTGTGTGTGTCTTGGGTGACCTCCCAATGCCTTGTTTTCTCCGTGTGATGCTCTGTGCCTTGTATTCCAGCTGGCGCTGAAACACCGGCAGGGGAAGAACCACAAGATGCGCATCATTGCGTTTGTTGGAAGCCCCGTGGAGGATAATGAGAAAGATGTGAGCGATTGGGGAGGGCTGGATCTCTCTCTCCCTCCCTCTCTTTAAAGAATAACCGTCCTGGGATCGTTGGCTGGCTGTGCTTTTAAACAATGCAGTTTGTGTCCTTCCTCAGGGAATGGGAGGTACTTGTTACCTTTCACTCAGCACAACGACCCTATGAGGTAGTTTACCTGGTGGGAGGGACACTTGGGTGCAGCCCTCCAGCGGCTTTTGGACTCTATCTCCCATCGTTCTTCACTGGCAGCTATGCAGATGGGAGTTGTAGCCCAGCGGTTCATCCCTCAGGAGGCTGAAAGAAGTTCACCAATCTTATTTTGGGAGTTTGTGGTCTGGGTGCGAGTTCCTCCATTCTAGCAGAGAGTGCCCAGAGCCTCTCCGGTTTCCTTTTCTGCGGACGTTTGCTGTGAGCCTCCTGCCCGGCTGATGCTTTCGGCCGGCAGGGCCATCTCGGTGGATGGAGCCGCCCGGGCGCCCCTTGTCTCCTTTCTCATCCTGATGGCACTTTTTTCCCTAGCAGCTGGTGAAGCTGGCCAAGCGCCTCAAGAAGGAGAAGGTGAATGTGGACATTATCAACTTTGGGGAAGAGGTGAGGAATCTCAAACCCAAGACTTGATGCCTATCTTGGTTTTTGTACGTGTTTGGTAAAATTTCTCAAGAAAAATGGAAAAGAAAAAAAGATAAAGGGGAAAAACCGTATGGGTCATAAAACATCATAAGAATACAGGAAGGGAGGAAAATGTAGAAGTGGATCTTAGAGAAAAGTAACCAAATCTATGGACAGATTTTACACCCGTTTGCCATAACTTTTAAAGTTAGAACGTTATTGTTCATTAAGACACACGGGGAGATTATGTTGACAGCCAACAAATCCAGTTTTAAAACGGGAATCTTTTCTGCATGCATCTGACATTTTCTACCGGGAGCCCAAGGTGGTGTAGGGGGCTGTTTCCCTTCTTTCAGTATCCTCTCACCAACCCCAGGGTGGGCCAGAGGGGTAGGCCAGCTTGAGGGAAACGGACCCAAGGTGACGCTGAGGGTCTCATGACTCGATGGCAGGTCAAACCAGGGTGTCCCAAGTCCCTCACGGCCCGTCGTGTACTCAGACCTTTCTTGGGGAAACTCCTGAGATGTCCCGAGTCGCCTGTGGTGGTTGATCTCTCTCTCTCTGTGCTTCCCCACTCTGGGGTCCTTCCCCCTCCACCACCACCACCACCACCAGGAGGCCAACACTGACAAGCTGACGGCCTTCATCAACACCCTGAATGGCAAAGACGGCACGGGCTCCCACCTGGTGACCGTGCCCCCTGGGCCCAGCTTGGCGGACGCCCTCATCAGCTCCCCAATCCTGGCCGGGGAAGGGGGCGCCATGCTGGGGCTGGGGGCCAGCGACTTCGAGTTTGGTGTGGACCCCAGCGCTGACCCGGAATTGGCTCTGGTGAGTGAGTGTCACAGGAGGGAGGGAGGGGTGTCGGCCCGATGGCTGCCCAACCACGCTGACCCCGGCATCTGCTGTCTTGCCTTTTTGTCCTGCAGGCTCTCCGCGTGTCGATGGAGGAGCAAAGACAGAGACAGGAGGAGGAGGCCCGCAGGGCTGCGGCGGCATCGGCCGCAGAAGCCGGGATCCCAGCGGCCGGTGGCGATGGTAAGACGGTTGGGGGGCTGGGGTTGGGCATCCTTCCCTGTTTTTATATATCACCCATAGTTACGCTGTGGAACTTACAGCCACAAGATGATGGGAATTAAGAATGGCCAGAAACAGGATGAGTGTAGTAGGATTGTCTCAGTTACGGGGCAGCCACAAGAGCAGTTGCGTCTTGGGCGTCCACCGGAGAAAGCAGAGGGGGAAAGATTCTCCCTCTCTTTTCTGTAATGCGACACCGGACGGAGGTCAGTGGTCCCAGTATGTGTGACCTAGCCAGGCTGGTGATACGCCTCTTTCCTCTGCCCAGAGTCGGATGACACCCTGCTCAAGATGACGATCGGCCAGCAGGAATTTGGCCGAGCTGGCTTGCCAGACCTCAGCACCATGACTGAAGAAGAGCAGATTGCTTACGCCATGCAAATGTCTCTCCAAGGAGCGGGTGAGCAAGCAGGCAAGAGCTCAGCCCCGGGGCCCCCTTCACATCAGGGTTGGCGCGTGCGCTCGGTGGTCAGAGGGTGCGCTTTTGGAGGGGTGAACTGCGGAAGAGGCTTTGGGTGGAGGCACTGGGCTCTGGAGGGGTTGAGCACACTGACAGCTCCTCCAGCATAGGAGGAACAGTTTCTCTGGGTTGCACATCCCGAGAGAAGCCTTCATCCGCCACGGGAGTGCCCTGTTGCACCTCTGTGTGAATTGCACTCCTTAGCTCTCCTCGGGCAGATGGAGACTTGTACAATGTGGAAGAGGAACGCTCAAAGGTGGGAAATACCTGTTCTTCCACATTATCAAAGTAGAGGCTTCTTAGATTTAAGCAGAAAGGGTGCTGTTTCTGTTTTTAGCTTTGATGAAAGCAAGAATCATGTGGGCACACAACAGTGAAGGACCTTGAAGGCCACCGGTTTGTCTGTTGACCACATGACTGACCAGCAGGCCTGGGCGCTTTCCTCTGGAAGGCCCTGTGGCGAACGGAACCCCTCGGTCCTCTCCGCTGCTGGAGAGAATCACTTAAAGCTAAGGGAGTGTCTCTTTCTTCTCCCCAGAGTTTGGACAAGGCGAATCGGCTGAAGCAGACAGCAGTGCCGACATGGACACGTCGGAGCCTACGAAGGTTTGTGCCCACAGAGGGGTAAGGCTGTGCCCAGATAAAGGCGCCCCTCAAGTCCGGTTGCCAGAGGCGGGGGGGGCTTGGATGGGCTGAGGGAGTGGGGCCTTGCTATCTCACCCGAGATGCGGCCAGAAGAAATAACCCAGGGGGAGAGACGGCGCTGGGACAGGGATAGCCGCAGATGAGCCGGTCCTGGCCGGGTCCCAAAGCCCTCCTCGCGTGGATGGGGTTTCTGGGAATTTGAATCTGATCGTACAAGGGAGAAGCTGAGAGTTGCCCTTCCTTTCCCTCTACAGGAGGAAGATGACTACGATGTGATGCAGGATCCAGAGTTCCTCCAGAGCGTCCTGGAAAACCTGCCCGGGGTGGATCCCAACAACGAGGCCATCCGCAACGCGATGGGATCACTGGCCTCGCAGGCCTCCAAGGAGAACAAGGACAAAAAGGAGGAGGAAGAGAAGAAATGATGAAAGGCTGGGCCGGAGGCCCCCTTGCTCTTGTCCCTCCCAGGCAGGCCCGTGGCCACCGTCAGCAGGAAGGTTTTTCTCTTGCGCATGCCCCAGTTCTTGTAGCTGAGAAGCTGTCACTTCCCGTACCCTCTCCTCTCTGGGCTAGCTGGTAGGGCGCTGCGTCTCTGGGGCGGGGTGGTGGTAGGACCTTGGGGGGGCATCTTGTGGTTCAAACTAAAAATAAAAATAAAAAACTTAAATTTTCTCTGCAGCTTTTCCTTGTATTTTCTCAAGCAAAGCCCTAACGCTTTGGTTCTGTGCCCAAACCAAGCAAGGCAGGAAGTATAGACGGATGGTTCTTCTCTTTGTTCCCAGAATCCTTGACCAGTGGCCAGGCCAGCCGGGGCATTTTAGTGGCCGCAAAGGCCAAGCAGCACCTTGTTCAGATAAACTCTCATCCTGATCTGTGTGGCCGATGCTGGTTCTCTTCTGTTTAGCTCATGCCGTGTGTCCTGAGTAACTTGAAAGCTCAGGTTTTTCTTATACCAGGAACGGGGAGCTGCTGCCCTGCATGCGAGCCGTGGACCTCCAGGCCTCCTGACGTGGCGTCTCGGGACTCTCCAGACCCTGACGCCACCCTAGCTCCTTGCCAGCCTTACTTGGTTCTGCAGTTTGTTTTGCGATGAATTGCAATATTTTAATCTTTGTGGTGGAGGAAAATGCATACCAATTCTGCTGACAGAGAAGTTGCTAAATGGTAGATGTTAAATTGGCTACAACTGTTTTCATTTCCTAAAGTCTTTTTCTTGGTTATACTAGCTCTGTGGAGAGAGAGAGAGAGAGACAGACTGTGGGATCCCCCCCTTTCACCCCCAAGGCTAAAAGCCATCTGTTCAGGTATGGTTTTTCGTTAAGCTTCTTTGAGGACTTCAAGGGTAGACACTCACTCGGTGGCAGCTGTTTTAAGTGCCCAGATAAACACCCTTCAGATTCTTAAGAAGGAGAACCAAAGGCCAGGCTGACACAGGCTTTCCCTGGGGTCGTGTTTTTTTTAAAAAAGGCTTAAAACAAAATAGTAGTGTTTATCTTTTTTTATTGCTACTGACTTGGTTATTACGAGTCAAAGATACGGAAAGAAGAATACACAATTATAAAGCAGCAGCAGAGGCTGGGTGCTTCCCGTGTCAGACATACCGTGGCAACGGTCTTATGTGACAAGTGCCACTGAATATGAGAACATTAGCTGTTACAATCGGAAAGGTTTTGTGTTTTTTTTAATATATTGATGGTGCACAAAACAATGGGGGAGAGATTAATATTGCTGCCCCCCCCCAGGGCATTTTCGAGCTTATTCTAAGCAAGTCTGGTCATGAGGTGCCTCGGAGAAGCTGCAAAGAAATGAAGGGGGGGGGAATGGGATTTTAAACAAGTGAATTCCAGCAGCTGCATAAGAAGAAACGGCAGTATTTTTCATTTAATTGCAACAGTCCCTTGATCACACC